TCCAACGGCTGCATGTACAAAATGTAGGTCAGCCATGACTCGAGACAGGAAGGACCATTTGCTTCGCAGGCCGTGAACAAACGCTGCATATGCAGCTTGGGGCTGTGACGAAGCAATAGTGCTGAGCGACATCACCTCCTTTACCCAGGATTGAACCTTGCGCTCCATAAAGCAGCGGGAGAATTCTGCTGAGCCAAGCGCGGCTCCCAGATGCCGACATCCATCTGTGCGGATGTCAATTCCAGTTCCAGCAAATATGCTGGTGGCCTCATCCAGAAACTGTGGCTTGACAAGGAGGACAGACTTGGTCGGGTTGAGGAAATAGCCGTATGATGGACCACTCTCGTTGAGGCGATCCCACCAAATAAGTACTGCTTGCAACTTGCCGCCTGCGGCAGAATCATCCGCAAACCAAGACTGCGTGGCACCGTCTGTTGCTGCTTCTTCGATGAGGGGAGAACACCGAGAGCGTACATCGCCATAGCGACCGGGTCGCCTTGGGTGGTACCTTCGCTGGACTTGATACACTCACCGCTCACGAACAGATTGGCCGGCTCTCTGTATGTGTTGATGACTGTCGGAGCTAAGGACGGGCAGGTGTGTTGGATGTTCCGCATGCATACTTCTCTGTTCAGACAATTGAACGCATTAGTTGCATCAGCCAGTAGGATTGCTTCCGTGTCATCCAGCTGATGGAGGTCATTCATGGCGTGAATGGCTGCTTCCACACCTCCGTCTTGGCCAGCACATAGTTGGAGACTTCCGGCTGCACGTTGAATTTCGTCATTCGTGATGGAGAGGATGGCTTTCCCCATGATCCGGCGAAGGACCTCACCTATGCCGATGGGCCGCACGCCTGGCTTCTTATCAAGGGGAATCAGGCGACAGGCGACGTAGGCCTCCAGGCTTGATGGATGGACATAGGTCGTTGCTAGCCGTCGTGCACATGCTGCAATCGCGTCGCACAGCTGATCGGAGATGTCGGCGAAACCTGAACACATGCGTCGCCAGTTGTCGGCGGCGACTCCCGAGGGACCTGCAGCACCATGGGTATTGAGCGCTGCCCGTAGCACCACTTGTCGTGTTAGTGCCTCGAATTGGATGGGATGGGGTGGGGTAGGCGGGACACCACGCATCACCGCTTGGGCGTGTGGCGGCGCAGCCTCCGGATGCGTGTCCTTGAGGATATCGAGGACTGTCCTCTCACCAATTCTGTCGTCCAGGTGCAGCATTCCTCCTGAATCTCCACCGCTCAGTTGGTCCAATGCGGCATGAAGCTTGCCCTTAGTTACTAGAGATGCAAACTGCTGTGCTGGGTCCGGCTGCCTACGGCTCTGTTGTTGCTGGTGCTTGTTGAGTTGGTCATGGATAGTTTGGCACTCGTGCAGAAGCTCCTTCAGCTTCCCCTCTTTCCACAGATCCATCCTGCGTTGCAAGCAAGTTGCGGTAGAAGAGGAGGGGTTGCCAAACGGCTTCTGCAGAAGTAGGAGCTGATAGACCATAGCTATCTTCAGGGCACATTCCGCGTAGGCGCCATGCTGCCCAAAGCATTCCAAATATCTGCTCAGCTGCGCGATAAACTCCCGCCCCTTTCTCCCTTGCGGCACTAGGAAAGCGTTCGGCCGGTAGTGGACGGCTATGTCGTAGACTTCCGCTACCATGGTCAGTGTCTGCTCTGAAGTCAGCTCGCCGAGGCTGAAGTGTGTCCTTTCCGTTGGTAGGAAATCTGGCAGTACGGTAGCTGCAGTGCTGGGGACTTGCTCTGGGCCGTCCGCGTGTTCGCCAGTGCCAGTGGGCTGTGTGGAGGTCAGGTTCGCTAGTAGGTCGACCTCGTCCGTGGTCGGCTCGATATGTTCCCGAGTTCGCGGTGGATCGGCGAGGGCATTCTCTTGCTCTTCCAAAACGTCCCAAGCCAACTGTTGCGAAGCTGATATTTGAGATTCATTGGGCCGAGTTTCTGCGGCGCTGGTGGCGGACGGCTCATGCCTCGAGGCTTCCAGGCATGCATTGCTGCAGGAGCTCTGTGGCGCGGTCGTGAGCGTCACCTCCACGTTCCACTCCCCGCTGGCAGTTCAAACTGCCACACTCGTACTCTGCAGCTGCTGGTACGGCATTTCCGACGGTTTGATGTTCCGGGTGTACGGCATCGGCTGTGTTCTTGCACTTCTCCTTTTTCCAGGTGTGCAGTTGATACAATGGCGGTTCTCTTTGTAGCAAGAACAGCTTTTACGGCAGGTCGCGTTCCCAGTGCAAGGGCAGCACCGACGTCCATGCGGACCTGGACCCTTCGCGTTGCTGTTCGTTGCCATCAGCGCACCATCGTAGTCACTGAACTCACTGAAACACTCTGAAAAGTGGGGAAACCCTGGAGCTTGAAAAAACCTAACCGACCCTCGGGAACTCTTGTTCGGAGCCTAGGGGTCCACTCGTCATGACTGCAACGAGTGGGTTTTAGCCAAGTACGAGGTGAATAGCAATTTCTGGACATGAAAATAAAATAGAGCTCCACTGGATGTGTGTTTTACATTTTTCTTATATTTTGTATTTTATTGTATTTTATTATTTTACTTGGGCATTCCCAACAGACCCTAAGCCAAGGCCTTCTTAGTCTGAACGCGCCCTTAACCCTATAACGCCTATAGGGCGGATATATCCGCCAGACTGTACAGTGCATGCTGAGGTGACTTCAAACTTTCGTCATTCAGTCAATCCTTGTTCGAATTCAACAAACGAAAGGTTTAATCGTATTAGAAAAGCCTCAGCCGTCGGCTCCAAAAAACCCAAAGACGATCCGAGGTCATGGCGCAGAGTTACGACACTCGAACGAAATTCGCGTGGGCGAGTCGGCTCGCGCGGCGTAAAATTTGAAACGCCAGCAAGGGATTTTCCCTGACTCGCTGGCGACGCGTGCACGACTGGCATACGTCATTTTCAAGCTGCATTTTGAAGCTCTCTCCTGCAAAAAAATTGACCGTTCTGCGATCGATATTGTTGAAATGGCTGAGAATTTAGTACCGCGCTCGCAGGTCTGGCATTGGAGCGCTCAGATCGCGCTGCGGCGTTACTCCTACGACTCTATCAATTGAGAACTGGGTATGGCTGTGTTCGTCTTGGAGAGAGCTTTCCATAGAGCCCGAGATTGTTGGAATACTCCAAAGGATATCGAAATTACAGTCAGATGAAAATGTGAGTTTGTGAATTTCATGCGTCTCCTGAAATAATTTAGGCTCTAAAGGGTTAACAGGGTGCCCAAGATGAATGAAATTGTTAAGTTCCTGGCGAAATGAATTGGGGATATGATTTGTGCGAAGGGATTCGGAAAGCGCATTAAAGCGGTCAGCACCAAGGAATGAAATAGATCTGTATCCAGCTTGAGCTTGCACAATGGGTAAGGAAAGGGAATAATTGACTTGGCCGCGGGTTACTCTATCTGTGTGAGCGCAGTCACGGCGAAGGGAGAACATGTCAGAGAGGAGTGAACTGCAGATATTGTGGATGCATGGAACACGAAGAATATGGACTTAGTATGATATCTTTTGTCTAAGCTAATTATGTGGTATCGCTCAAGCAAGTATGATGTCCGCGTGAATGTGTCATGCTCAAATATGCATCTAAGTGCTCTCTTACTTATGCGTAGCAGCTGATCTCTCACATTGTCAGCGAGGCAGTGGACGTAGGCAGTGCTGGCGTACTCGAGCTTGCTCTGGACTACTGACAAGTAGAACTGCCTTCTGGCCTGGACAGCAAGGTTCCTCCTTCCACGTCGAAAAGCACCTAGTTTCTTTCCGATGTCTTCCCTGAGGGAGTTCACGTGGGCACTGAAACTTAAAGTTGAATCGAGAGTCAGTCCTAGATACTTAACTTCGTCAGACGGGGCAATAACAGTCGAACCACAGACAATGCTCAGGTTAGGTGGTGGATGTGAGCGTCTGCTGTGGATCAGTAGTACTTGGCTCTTGCTGGAGTTCAGGAGCAGGCCGCGATCTGTGAGGTGCTGCTTCACCACTGAAAAATCGTCTTCTAAGTAAGACATGAGAATTCGTGGACACTTTCCAGAGGCACACAGGGTGGTGTCGTCTGCATAAAGAAGGCATTGGGAACGCAATGGCAGAGTTATATCTTTGTATTTATGGTATGGCCTAATCTTTCATCTTTCCAAATATGTGACAATTGCTCATGCTGGGATCACAGAGACTTGATAGCAGGACGTTTTTGACAGGCCTATTTTTGGCCCAAATTTCAGTGTATGGAATTCTGGACATGAAAGTAAAATAGCGTCAATAGGCATCCTATACTGCACCATTTTTGTTGTTTTTCTATTGGTGGACTAACCCCCCAAGAGTGTGCAACTCTGCATATGGGGTCTCCGACGGCGAAAACTCACATCACATGTCTCAGATACCTTTGTACTACGTACAAACGTAGGATAGCGTGCGCGCAATCCCAAAATCTGCCCGTGATCATGCTGGGGATTTGCATACGCGCAGTGAGTTTCTGTCAGAGAGTGCTTTTTTAAGTTTTTTTAGTACTCCGTTGCTCGCTAAAAACGTGCTGGAAACGTACAACTGCGACACTGCACCACGTGATGTGAGTTTTCGCCGTCGGCGTACCCCATAGAAAGGGTATCAGGAGTTGCGCACTCTTGGGGGGTTATATACTCTTGATAGAAGAGAGAGCTGCCGGCTCAGGGCCATTGCTATGCTTAGTCATTGATCGCCTGGATACAGAAAAAGCACAAAGAGGGCCCCCGAGCTTGCAGCTTCCTCATTTCGCGTTCAAGTATGTGGTGCAGCTCTAGTCATATGCCATGTTACAGATCACGTAAAAGTGGTGGCATGCATCGTTGGGCCACTGGGTCACGGTGGTGCAAACGAACACACACGACCGTCACCCCGACCCCCCCCCCCCCACACACACACATACACACACACATACACACACACACACACACACACACATACAGAATAAAGAGATGAGGTAACTGAGTACGCGTACACGCCAGACGCACTACACAGCATCTTCTGCAGAGCTTGAGGAAAACAAACACTTTTCTCAATGCTTCACACGCGCAGCTCGTGTTTGTTACGCCAACCAGCATACCATGTGCAGACCAGCCGCACATGGCGTATAGAGGACTCTCTCCAGCCATGGATATGGACATCCATACCGTGAGAGTACAGTATTAGGGATGGCTCTCAGCAGTCGCTGATCACAACAGCTGGGGAGCCGGCAAAAGTGTCTGCTCATATCGCACAGCCAGCTGCCAAGCCATGCACACAATGGTGATAACTGTTAGTTGGCCAGCGGGACTTCCGTCGGCAGAGAGAGAATCCAGGGCACAGAGTGCCATTCATATGTAGTGCCGCACCAACGCAAGCACAGACCGTACTAGTCAGGAATGATACGCAGTGCTGTGCATGCAGATGTCGGCACAAGTGACCGCATGACTGCAGGACTGCATGTTCGGATGCCGGCACACAATCTGCTAGTTCATACCAGCTACAGCATGTTTTCACCATGATGGTTTGTGGCCCTTATAAAAAAAGAAAAAAAGAAAAAAAGACTCTGATGGAGAGCCAAGTATTATTTTATAGTAAAGAAAAGGACCAAGGAACTACAAGCTGCACGATAATGTCCACAGACACCACTAGTTAATTGACAAGCAGTTCATGCGATAACATTGCACAAACAAAACAAAACAAAAACAAAAAAGAATAGAAAAAAACTCATCCAAACACCACCACGTCTGCTTGCAGCTGGTACTAGTGGTAGCAACACCAGGCTGCTGATGGCGGGTGCAGGAATCCACATCGCCAACTGCCCGCTTGTGACTGTGGACCAGCAGAGCATGGCAGCTTGCCAGTGAAGCAAGGCTACTCAAAAGCCAGTAGAGCTTCGGCACGGCGGTGCAGGCCAGCGCTACCATACCTCGCAACATCAGCGTGTGTTCCTTTGTAAACGCTCCGCAGCCACCAGCCACAGTACAGTGTCCGAGAACAAGGCTAATTGTGAATGTCCAGTATGGCTTACCAGTTACTACTTGGAGGATAGCAACCTCCAAAGGTAGACATCACACGGACGGGGCACTCCCGCCATTGCTGCACAAAGCCGCGCCACAGCAAGAAGCAGACTCCGCGTTGGCGACACCACAGGCATGCACAATGCCACCGTTGCCTTCCCTGGCAAGTCATTGTGGACTGAGCACAGGATTGCACAGTGCTTCTGATGTCTTCATATGACAACTGTCCCAATCTACATACACAGAAACACAATCATACTGTAAAGAGGGAAACTTTCGATAGGGATTAAATTTCGCTATCTTCGCGACCATCACACATTCGCGAATATAAATCGCCGCAAACTGCTCTATAAATCGATAGTAGACAGTATAATATCCAATTGAATAGATGAAATCGCGAAAGTTTCTCATCGTGAACCAGCACAATTCTTGAAAGAGGAAAATTTGTGCGCCGTGAAATTTTATCGATTTACAGTATGAGAGAGAGAGAGAGAGAGAGAGAGAGAGAGAGAGAGAGAGAGAGAGAGAGAGAGAGAGAGAGAGAGAGAGAGAGAGAGAGAGAGAGAGAGAGAGAGAGAGAGAGAGAGAAGAGAAGAAGAGAAGAGAGAAGAGAGAAGAGAGAAGAGAGAGAGAGAGAGAGAGAGAGAGAGAGAGAGAGAGAGAGAGAGAGAGAGAGAGAGAGAGAGAGAGAGAGAGAGAGAGAGAGAGAGAGAGAGAGAGAGAGAGAGAGAGAGAGAGAGAGAGAGAGAGAGAGAGAAAGAAAGATAGCAAGAATACCTTACCTTGCCTGTAGTCAGCAATAGAAAGGCATGTCAGCTCACTCCACCTCTTCGATTTCAAAAGATTTCTTGCGGGGTTTCTTCGGCTCCGAACACTCCTTTTTTGTATGTCCCGGCTGGCCACACCGAGGGCACATCAACACTGGCAATAGAATGCAAACAAGAAGACGAGAGTAGAACATCAGCATTTAACAATACAGTCAGACCTCGCTTAAAGGGGAAGTCCGGTGAAAAATATAAATTTCAGGGTCGGCAGAGTTTCGGGCGCTGAGTCGAATGGTGTTGGTCCCACAAGTCTCCGACAAAGCGTTCTCGAGATATTTCCGTTTGAAAAACTGAGTTTCGGGGGCTGAGCCATGACGTCATGCGGCCGGGCCACACCCTCCGCAACGTCATAGCGTGCAGCTAGGTCAAAAAGAGCGCGTGAAAGCAATAGTGTCAGTGCTATTTCAAATGATTTGGCGACCGATAGTAGGGGGCGCAAGCGACCCCGAAGACGTAACTCCTTGTGAGAGTGAGGATGCAGCCATGGCTGACCTTCATGAGTTCGGTCTGGGGCTGAGAACCTCGGTATTCAGCTGAAAAAATGGCCGCGGGCCGGTCAAGAGTGAGCGCTACTGAGTTTCCGACTGATGAAGAAGCAGCAGCTATTGCAGACGAGGCTGATATAATTATCAGATCGCTGGAGAGCAGAGTCGCCAAAATGGAGAAGAGTGATGCGAGTGCTCTAAATGTTGTTCCATACCGATTCGCTTAGACTCCGGTAGCCTGCCACATGGTGATGTTTTGGTGCGAACTAGGCATATTTCGGACTACTCAATTGGAGAACAGTGCAGGCTCTTTGAACCACGGGCACGACTCTTCGCTCGCAACGCTACGGGATCTGAAAGTTCTCGGTCCGGGAGCTGTTCGCAGTTTTGTCACTTGTCACGGTTGTGCACTCATCGCTGTAGCATAAAATAATGAGGCGGGAGCGGAAAACGAAAACTTTCTTTCTCAAAGCACAACCACCGGCACCGGCAAGGAGAAACGCACTTTCTCTGACTACATGACTGTACGACTGATACGAGTGTACATGACAAGTCCGTGTGTTGACTAGTTTTCTGAGTTTTGTGACTCGAGTCTTGTTGTAGCTACCCCAGCACGGCAGTGCGGGAGTGGTTCCGTGTGTGATGAGTTTGTTGACTACACTACAGCTAGCATGCACGCAGCGCATTGCTAGAGCCATAGAGCCTGGACTAGAGGCCAGTGCATGCCGACGGGAAAAGTCCAACTCGGAAACGGCTAAAATACGGTATAACCTCGAGGTTTACTGAGCTGAAAATCACAGGGTACGTAGTGTTTGTAACACTGAATCGAATGGTCGAAGAAGCGGCGACAAACGGTTCCACAATCGAACGCGCTCCGAATATGGCCATTTTGTACACAAGTAGATGGTGTGGCTACCTGGCTGCACGCTGTGACGTCATCACCTGGATCTGGGTGATGCGCGCTCAAATTCGCACATGTTCGATTGGGCGTATCTGACGAACCATAGGCCGCAGCCTCCTCGGAGAAAGACCATTCGACTCAGCGCCCCGAACTCTACGGACTGTGAAATTTAAATTTTTCACCGGACTTCCCCTTTAACCGCACACATCCATTTTCCACACAAATATCCAGATAGGCGAGGGAACCGGTTAATCGAACACACATACTGTACGCATGCACGACATATCCTGTAAATTGGTAAACAACGATTTTCTTCCGGATGGCGAGGGATCCGGATAAAAGAGGACCGAGTAAGCGAGGTCTGACTGTAGTAGAGAGGTTCTGCACTACATAAATAACAAAGTCTAGACTGATAGACAGATAGCGTAAGATAGATAGATAGTAAGATGCTCTGCGGACAGAACTGCGTCGACAGTCCTTTGTGGACTCATGAGCGCAGCACAGAAAGATAGATAGATATTATAGAAAAAAAACAGGACCAAGGAACTACAAGTTACGCTATAATGTCCACTAACACCACCAGTTACTAAACAATCAGCTCATGCGATAACATTGCATTGGAGTTCCTTGATCCTTTTTCTTTTCTATAATGAAGGGCTCCAATTCAAAATGAGATAAATCTGTTTTGCGGAAATTTCAGGAAGAGCAATTTTTCTTTTTTCTTTTCTTTTTTCGGTCTGCACTGCAGCATCGGTGACTTTTATCGCGTTTTGCAGAAAAACACAAAAATTCAGGCATCATTCTGACTGGGATGTATCGCATGTTGACCCATAAAACCGACACACAGTCGTCCGTGGGGTGAAAACGAATTCTTTCGGGGCAAAAACGTAAAAGCTCAGGTTTGGTCTTTATCGCGTTTCGAATTGGAGCCCTTCAAATGTATCCATTGCTCTCCATCCGGATAGATAGAGTGTGCGTGTGTGTGTGTGTGTGTGTGAGAGAGAGAGAGAGAGAGAGAGAGAGAGAGAGAGAGAGAGAGAGAGAGAGAGAGAGAGAGATAGATAGAGAGAGAGAGAGAGAGAGAGAGAGAGAGAGAGAGAGAGAGAGAGAGAGAGAGAGAGAGAGAGAGAGAGAGAGAGAGAGAGAGAGAGAGAGAGAGAGAGAGAGAGAGAGAGAGAGAGAGAGAGAGAAATACCAGCGGCAAACAGGAGATCTTACATGTCTGGGGATGAGCTGGGTTTGAACACTGTGAAACCGTATGGCCAGGCAGTAGACACTTGAGACATACTATATCCATGAAATTTATTCCTACAAGGTAACACAACGTGCACACACACACACACACACACACACACGCACACACACACACACATACACACACACTACTACTACTACTACTATCAATCAGCTACCCCTTGGGGTCACGCCGCCACACACACACACACACACACACACACACACATATACACACACACACACACACACAAACACACACACACACACACACATACGTACAAGCACCATTTGACCATTTGACGTCCATCTCCGGAGGCGATGATACCGATGCTACAGCAGAAGCCATAGCAACTTGTGCTGAGATTGCACCATTCAACAGCTTGCAAGGCTGAAGAATTGACTGCTAGTATTCAGGCTGGTCTACACCACACAGCTATGAAGTTGGGTTTTTTCTGGCCAGTGAATCCCTACTTTTTGGTCTTTTTCATTTTATTTCCCGCACGCACATCACACCACATACTCCGGCATGCACTGGCTGTTGGTAACCACCCAGGAGAATGAAAGAAAAGTCAGGAGGAGTCTAAGAAAGAGAAGAAAGACGTGTGTGACCATAATCGTCGAGAATCGAACGCAACCTCTCGATTGGAAATCGCTGCACACGCCCGCACGCACGCACACACACACACACACGCATCGATCTTGCTATTAAGTATTAAAGGGGAAGTTAAGGCAAAAACTAAAATTTCACCAGTTGTAGTCTTCGGGGTGCTGAGTCGAATGGTCTTGGTCCGAGAAAGCTGAGACGCTCCCTTCCTACTTGAATCCCAATCGAACTCGCACACTTCCACCGAAACTGGGTGACTGCGCCCTACGAGATGGGGATTTGTATGCAAAATGTCACTAAAAGCGCCATTTCGTTCTTATAAAAGCACGGATGACCGCGATTGGCCCATATGTTGTAGTCTTTTGGACGCTGAATCGACTGGTTTTGGTCCGAAGAGGCTGCGATGCAGCTTTCCTCCTTTATTCCCAATCGAACATGGTTGAAGAAGCGGTCACGTGCTCCTGGGTGCCAAAATCACCTGGTCACCACGCCAGCAGGCGACAACTTTCACACCAAGGTTCAACTCGAGTGACAGGACTGCACCCAAAAAAGGTCAAAACAGGCTGTAAGTTGTACCCTGCAGGCACGGTGACCAGGTGACTGGTGTACGCAGGAGCACGTAACCGCTTCTTCAACCATGTTCGATTGGGAATTAGGGGCGAACGCTGCATCGCAGCCTTTTCGGACCAAAACCAGTCGACTCAGCGTCCAAAAGACTACAACATATGGGCCAATCGCGGTCATCCGTGCTTTTAGAAGAACGAAATGGCGCTTTTAGTGACATTTTGCATACAAATCCCCATCTCGTAGGGCGCAGTCACCCAGTTTCGGTGGAAGTGCGCGAGTTCGATTGGGATTCAAGTAGGAAGGGAGCGTCTCAGCTTTCTCGGACCAAGACCATTCGACTCAGCACCCCGAAGACTACAACTGGTGAAATTTTAATTTTTGCCTTAACTTCCCCTTTAAGGTCCATGGGTGATAGTCAATTCTTCAGACTTGCAAGCTGTTGAAAGGTGGTGGAATCCCGGCAGAAGTTGCTATGGCCTCTTCTGCAGGATTGCTATAATCACCTCGTTTCGGGTCTAAGGTGTGAGTATGTGTCTGTGCGTGTGTACGTGTGTGTGAGTGGTTGGGTGCGCGCGTGCGCATGTAATGTGCCAGCCACTCACTGCAATGTCATGTGGCTACCATCAAGCACGCTTGTACCTGACTGGTACCAAGAGTAGATAAACAAGAGTGTGCAACTCCGCATCTCTTCTGTACAATTTGCAGATACCCTGGGCCACGGCGGAAATTTTTGTTGACGTCACCTTTTTTCTTCAGAAAACAGTGCATTTTGCCACAGAGCGGAGTGAGAGCACTTGCTGGGCACCGACCTTGTAATGTAAAGCCCGGCCAAGTGCACGAGGCAAAACTTCCAAAAGACTCGCAGTGAGTGCTTCGTAGAAAAGATTACGTCACCAAAAAATTCCGCCGTGGGCCAACAACCCTTGAGTTGCACACTCTTGTTTATCTTCTCTTGCTGGTACTTATCAAACAAAAAGCAAGCACTCGGTTGAGTGGCACAGGAACACACGCTACAACCAGTACAGTCAGGCCTCGCTTTTAAAACTGCACACATCCGCTTCCACAAAAACATCCGGATAGATGAAGGAACTGGATAATCGAGCACGCATACTGCACGGATGCATGAAAATACATGTATGCTGCAAATTGGTAACCAGTGATTTCCTTCCGGATGGCGAGGGATCCAGGTAAAAGAGGACCGGATAAGCGAGGTCTGACTGTACCAAAGAAATCGGACCCACACCCACAAACAGACAAAACATAAGGGACAGCGCCTTGCAAGGACTCCGGAACAAGTGTGTGTTTGGTCTACTGGATAAGTGTCACTGGAAACCATCTCGTAACCAGACGGGTCTGATTTCTTTGGCTCCACTAGTAGCTGTGAAAACGTTGCTAGTCAAAAACTGTTATGAAATTAGTAGCAGGTATGTTCCGCTCTTTGACCACTTGGTGGTGGGTCTGATCTACTCACCTCCCACCGTTTAGGCGCTGCATCTGCGCCTTGATCCTAGAGGGTGGTGGCGTTCCCACGGCGGATGCGGAAAACTCGGATTCCAGCCGAGTCTCGCGCGAACCGTGAAATATATTTATTATTATGTTCCGCTCTCCCTGAGGAACAGATTATGATGTGGCACTCAAGTTCATTCATACCACGGCAGCAAAGAAAGGATTCTACGAGAGTACATTTCTTAGCGAGACAGTGTGCTGCAATGCATGATAATATGAATACGTTTGCTTACCATACTTAGAGGGAGAACCGGGCGGTAAGGATGGGCACTTCCCAGGCGAGTGGCCCACAGTCCCGCACACGAAGCAAGCTACTCTAGAAGCATCACGTCGTTCAGTACTACCGGTATGTGGAGACGCAGAGCTGTTGGCGCGTGGATTGTCTGTATAGCTGCTGGTCAATATTCCACCACTGTGCCTTGTGATGGCCGTCGTGAATAAAGGTCGAGCAGTGTCGTTCCTCCAGGGTAGACTCCGAGCAGCACGGCTACGAATTAGGAATGACATGCCTTGCCTGGGAGTCCTCATTCAAGCCAAAACTATTTAGTTATCTAGATATCTATCTCCTTGCATGTCCAAGAGAGCTAAAACAGTAAAATATGTTCATGGAAACGAAAATTCGTGTCACAAAATCAAATCAAATCAAATCAATGATTGAACATGAAATTCGAAAGTGACTGTGTATAATGACATGTACCGGTAAACCTACGTGTTCGAAAGAAGGATGACGTAAAACAGAGACTCCATAATGCCATGACGACGTGCATGGCGTAGCTAGCCGGTCAAGTCGTAATAATAGTAATACCAGGGAGTCGTAAAATACCTGGTATTTTACGACTCCCTGGTAATACCAGGAGTAGATCTACCTTAGCTTCATGGCCGAAACAGCTTGTACAGGTAGACTCCCTTTAATTCGAACCTCAAATTGCCAGGCCCTAACTTCGAATTATCCAGAACTTCTAATTATCCAAATGCAGCCCCATGCACTGATATGTATGTCAAAATGCTTGAAATCGCATGCTGAATATTTTTTGCACATTTTTATTTGCATCAACGAAACATAGGTGCCGGTCATGTAAAACGGATCATCAAAACACTGGATTGACACAAAATCATTTTGACATTATCTTCATCTTCTAGTGAAGAAGTTGTCAGTCACTGCACTGTAGCTTTCCTGAAACAATTTCAACGGAAAAAAACTGCGCTGCCTAATCCGCGTCATGAAAGGCCGTTGGACAGCAGCACGTCGTTCTGAAGAACGGAAGTGGAGCAAAGGCATAGACAATATTTACGACAATAGTGTTGTTGTGCGCCAACATCTCCGCGCACGAGCTGGCGCGGTAAGAAAGGCCATCGAGATCCACGAAGAGAGTCAGCCACCAGGAAGAAGTCGTCTTCAATCAAACCTTTGCAATTTGCCTCGCACGGGCTTGAATCAAATTTCGAGAGAAGGTGGGTTTCTTGAACGCTATAGTCGATCCTGCAGCGGACCATCGATCGATTTTTGAGCTACTCTTGGCTAGAGAAGGAGAAAAGAATGAACTTCGAATTACAAGGATAGCAACTCAATCTCACTTCGAAATAAGCGTTCAAAGGACATAGCCAATGTACTGTAAACAGCTCTTCTGTACGAAGACTGGGTTCGAATTATCCAACCGGCGCACTTTTCGTACTTCGAATTATGCATTCGATTTTGACTTGAAGCCCCGGAGAGCGCGCGGTTAGAGTTTTGCTAGCTCCTGTGTTTTTTTGAATTTCTTGACGTGGTATGCGTTGATTTTGAGCTATTTTTTCATGGCAACGAGCGGAGGTAGCGCAGGTTCCGGCACCGGCCGGTGTTGTCAATGCAGTGGCAATTCCGTCTGCAAAACCAACTGCAGTTGTCGAACGAAAAGTAGTCTTTGTATTCAATGCACTCCTGGAAGGAACTTGAGATGCAGGAATCGGCAAGACCAGTTAGCTGCTCCCGTACAGTGCAGTTCAAACCCAGCGGGGGTCACTACCGTACCTTCCGCCGTACCTGAGCCAGTCACTGTATCCCAACCCGGACCCGGAGCCAGCAGTACTCCCGACCCCGTCACTACTGACACTAGCCAGCAGAGCAGCCTGAGTCATGACTCGCCAATCGTGAGCACAACCCGTACCGTCTCTGGTGCCAGTGTTGGGACAGGGCACTTAGCTCAGCCTACATCTACGTCTGCTGGCGCGAGCCCACATGTGACCGTCGCAAGTGCATTCGACCCGTCAGCGGAAATCAACGACGACGATGCGCATACGGCTGGACCTACACCTACTAGTGCAAGTGCTAGTGGTGGAGTTGGAAGTCCGACCTCTGACCGCAGTGTTGACCCAGCTCTGGCTGATGCCACCTCTGGCAGCCTTGCTGACGAGGTTCAACTTCTGGTAGGCCTCAGCGATACTCAGGTGGACGGCGATGGCGAGGCAGCCAGCGAGGCCCCCGAGTTACCACCCTTCCCAATTGCCCCTGGTGTGGGGTTCACGCTGGGACGCATGGATGCAGCTACCACCAGCCAAGCACTGCACTCGGCATACGATGAAGCAGTGCACTATATCCCGAACACGTTTGACGTCCCAAGTGGCGCGGCTGGGAGGGCCTTCATCAACCTCCTCAGTCAATACCTGGAGTGGTTTGGAAATGACGCGCCTTTCTCCGGGCAAGCATTGCAGATTGCAATGTTATTTCAACAGCTGCTACTTCAGAAGCCACACCAAGTGGCAGTCTCAGCACACTCTAAGTCTCTCCAGCGGCGACTGGACTCCTGGAATGATGGCGATCTTCCTCAACTCCTGAGCGAATGCCGTACCATTCAGCGCCAACTTCAACGGCACTACGAGCAAGCTTCCCAGAAGCAGAACAAGGATCCAGCGGGCAGATTCGCCAGCCTAGTCAACGATGGGAAATTACATTCAGCCCTGAGGCTGCTGACTGACCAGCCTGACAAAGGCCCAATGGAGTTGGATGACCGGGTAGGTGACAAGTCCGTGCTGGACATCCTGTGGGACAAGCACCCACCAGCAGAGCCATTGCAGGAGCACGCGTTGATCCCGGGAGAGCCACCGGTGCCTCCACATCCCACCCGCTTTGAGTCGCTGACACGTGCATTCATCCGCAAGGCTGCCCTTAGCACGTTTGGCGCTGCCGGCCCCTCTGGCGTAGATGCAAACACGTGGCGCAGAATGTGCACAGGATTTGCGGAGGCCTCAGACCGACTGTGTGACGCAATGGCTAGCTGCGCCCGGAGACTCGCGACAAGCTATCTGGACCCAACATCCTTGAGTGCCTATGTTGCCTGCAGGCTGGTCCCCCTCGACAAGCAACCTGGGGTTCGACCGATCGGTATCGGGGAAGTCCTACGACGCATTCTAGGGAAGGCAATTCTCTATGTGATCGGCGACGACATCCGCGACGCAGCAGGAAGTTTGCAGCTATGCACAGGTCATGACAATGGCATAGAGGCAGCTATCCACGCCATGAGAAGCGTCTATGAAGACCCTGAGTCCGAGGGCATACTCCTGGCAGATGCACGGAATGCCTTCAACAGCCTAAATCGTCAAGTGGGTTTAAGGAACATCCAGCACCTTTGTCCATCGCTGTCGCCATTGGTGACCAACACCTACCGCCATCCAGCAAACCTCTATGTGGGAGGAGAGACCATCAAATCATCGGAAGGAACAACACAAGGCGACCCCATTGCCATGCCTGTCTATGCTCTGGGTGTCCTCCCGTTGATACAGGCTGTGGCTGTCGACGGAGCTACCCAATCCTGGTTTGCCGACGACTCGGGTGCGGGTGGGAAGCTTGTCAAACTTCGCCAATGGTGGGATCTCCTGGTCGAAAAGGGACCCAGCTATGGGTACTACCCGAATGCCGAGAAAACCGTCCTCAGCGTGAAACCTGAATTCTACGCAGATGCAGTCCAGATCTTTGACGGCACCGGTGTCACCATCAACACCAACGGTTGTCGGTATCTGGGTGCGGCGATCGGCTCCACCGACTTCACCACAGCGTACGCAGACGGCAAGATAGCCACATGGACACAGCAGGTCAAGCGACTGGGGGAGATAGCCACCTCGCAGCCACAGGCAGCGTACTCTGCCTTCACCCGCGGCCTCCAGAGCAAGTGGACATTCCTTTGCCGCACCATGCCCGGTCTCGCTGAGCAGTTAACGCCGCTCGATGATGCAGTCACCAACTGCCTTGTTCCTGCTCTCCTTGGCCGTCAGGTTAACGCCACGGAGAGGGCAATGATCGCCCTACCATGTCGCCACGGCGGTCTGGGCCTGACACCTCCATCGTCAGTTGCCCAACAACACGAGTCTTCAGTTCGGGTCTCTCAGGCGCTGACCGAATGCATTCTACGACAGGACTTTGAGCTGGGCAATGCCATTGCGCGCGTCCGGCAGGCAAAGGCGCAGGCCAGATCCGATACCCGGGATAGTGCTCGAGCTGATGCTTTGCTCCTCCGCTCATCGGTGTCGGCGGACATGCAGAGAACCCTGGATTTGGCAGCGGAAAAAGGCGCCTCCAGCTGGCTCACCTGCAGACCTCTTCGCTGTCACCGCTTCAACCTCACGAAAGGAGAGTTTCGCGACGCTGTGTGCCTGCGGTACAACTGGCTACCTCCCCGACTTCCGACATCCTGTCAATGCGGGAAGGAATTCTCCGTGTCCCATGCCCTGTCATGTTCCCTAGGAGGCTTCCCAACCCTCCGGCATAATGAGATCCGGGACCTAACCGCCAGGACATTGAAGCAAGTCGCCCATCAAGTTGCTGTGGAGCCCCACCTTCAACCACTGACAGGGGAACAGCTACGGTACCGGTCTGCCAACACCGATGACCACGCCCGGCTAGATGTGGCAGCAAGTGGCATTTGGGGTGGGCGATTCGAGCGCACCTTTGTTGATGTTCGGGTGTTCAACCCACATGCGTCCTCGAATCGCTCCAACTCGATTGCCGCTTGCTATGTCAAACATGAGCGGGAGAAGAAGAGGGCATATGAGCAGCGGGTGCGCAATATCGAACATGCCTCCTTCGTCCCAGCCGTCCTGTCCACCACTGGGGGCATGAGCAGATGCGCCACTGCATTCTACAAGAGAATTGCTAGTCTGCTAGCTGAGAAGACCGCCGAGCCCTACAGCAACGTGATGGCCAACCTCCGCTGCCGCTTGAGCTTTGCATTATTGCGTGCCAGCGTCATGTGCCTCCGTGGGGCTCGCAGCACATTCACAGCTCACCTCACTGCTGATCCTGTCTCTGCTGAGGTTGTTGTTGCAGAAGCTGGCGTTGCCCGTTGATATTATGGGCATGTGTTTCTGTGGAGAAGGCGGAGAGCCGGAACGCAAACAATAATTATTACTTTATCATTTTGGTCATCTTTTGTATTTTCATGACATGATTGTATGGGTTTATTAATTTTGCCCGTACAAGAGGCTTCGTAGTTTCAAAAAAAAAAAAAAAAAATTTTGACTTGAAGTGACTTGCAGAAGATCGGTACGACGAAAAAGTTCGAATTACACGGAATGTTCGAATTATACCGTATTCGAATTAGAGGGAGTCTACCTGTAGTATAGTAATGCTGTCTGCAGCATTGGGTACCTACACTGGAGGGCTACAGCAGCATTATACACACACGCATTCTGTTATCAGCATGAACACATGCTTACTCTCATTATATAGGCCTTGGTCACACTACTGTATAAGCAGAAATATTCGTCTTTTTCGTCCAAGGAGCTTTTGGACTAAATCAAATGTAGGACGAATATCGATTTGTCCAGCGTTTCTATGCACTCTTATGATCCATGGACGAAATTTTCGACCGGACGAACTCCTTTTCTTTGGAGTTGGACGAAATTATTGACCGACGAAATTTTCTGCCACTACAGTACGTCAAGTTCGAATCTGGACGCAGCGTCAAACCCAAGCACTTGATGCTGACGTGGAGTCGCACTGCATTTTTTGCTTTTGCCGTCGTGGTCTGACGCACTGCACAAAACTACTCTGTGGCGACCAAATCCCTACGATAGAGTACGGTACGCTATTCTCAAAAGACACTGTTTTTTTCATGCAAGTGCTTGCAGCGGCAATGCAGCCGATTTGCTCGCGTCTGACGCTCAAAGTTCCCGCGTTTTCGTCAGCTGCCATGGTAAAAAAACCTCCTGATTCCGACACTGACGCGGTATTCTTTACGTAGTGTGACCGGGGGCCTAAGAGGTCACCACACAGGCACACACCAACCCAGTAAGAGGTCACCACACAGGCACACACCAACCCAGTAATAGATCACCACACAGGCACACACCAACCCAGTAATAGATCACCACACAGGCACACACCAACCCAGTAAGAGGTCACCACACAGGCACACACCAACCCAGTAATAGATCACCACACAGGCACACACCAACCCAGTAATAGATCACCACACAGGCACACACCAACCCAGTAATAGATCACCACACAGGCACACACCATCCCAGTAATAGATTCACAAGAAGATTCTAATGGCCGGGGAGACTCTGCCCGTGATAGTTTCGTATTTGCCGCCTGCGGCAAATTAAAGCAAAACACGTGGAAATAACGTAATAAATCTGGTCAAGAGAAAGTATTGACAGCAAGCATTCCATAGTCAGACGCTGGGATTCCAAGGCATGGTTTTCCCAATAAAAATCAGGGATGCAGCCAACACCAAGCATGGGAGAGAGGAAAGACATTGCAACGATGTTAAACAGATTGACGAGGAAACAGGACAAAAGCAGACAATCGGTGTCACTCGCGTGGAGACTGTAAACTCAAGACACAGTACAACATTCTTAAAACCTGACCCTACTGTATATCACATGAACTCAACAAGCAAAACATAACGAGACAGGCAGGCAAAGCCAGATATGACACTCTCGAACTAGTGCGACTGTCAGAAAATAGCGCGGCTCAGCCACTACGGAACACACACTTACTCTTGTAGTCCGTCCAACAACGATAGATCGTCAGCATTCCTCAGTGCCAGCGTGCTTGCCACACATCGAACAACAGGAACAAGCCATGATAGTGCAGCGGCATCGCCAGCCACAGCGCTACACAGATCGCGTACCCACTGGCGCACAACGTCCGCCGTGTGCGGGTGCGCCGCCAGGATTCGGTCAATGTGCGGCCGGTCGTGACGACGTGACGTGTAGACCGTATCCAACAATGCCATGAGCTTGCCGACGGCTCGCTGCGCAGTCTGCGCCTTGGCCGTGTCGTTGGCAGCATCATGGCCACAGCGCAATGCTAGCTTCGAAACGGCATCGGTCAGACAGGCAATCAGCATGCCATAGTCAATGGCAAACATTCGCACGACAAGAGGTGCAGCCGCAGCAGGTACCTCTGAGCCTGTGCTGCAGACGTGGATGTCTGCCAGGATGTCGGCGACGTCCGAAATCTGCGCCAGCATTGACACGCTCACATCCGAGCCTTGGCCTATGTCACTGGCGAGTCGCTTCAAGGACAACGAGAGGCCTAAGGACATGTCCTGGTGCTGCTTCGTGATGTTCTTGCGCAGAGAAAGCAGAGTGCGAATATGCCCTCTGGTTGGCTCTCGCACACCGTCCACGGGCAAAGAATGCATGATACTCATGAAGTCATTGAGAGAGGTTAGCTCGCGGCACAGGGTCAGCTGCAGGTCTAGGCAGCGTGTTGAATCCTTCAGATGCGTGTTATACAGGTCAACGCATTGCAGAGACACCTGGCAGCAGTTGAGCAGCTGTGCAGACATAGAGCTCATCAGGTTAACGGCAGAGTCTTTCTGCAAGTCGCGTAGCACATCACACGCCAGCTTCAGCAGCAAACCAAGCGACTTGATCGTCAGCAGAGCAAATTCCAAACTGCCCGCTGGGGACTTGCCGGAGCGCAGCCGTTGGAACAAGTCCGTTGGCGACGTGTGCGCCCAGAACTCGGCTAGAAGCGGCTCAACCTGCGACATCACACGCCTGAGGCTCTCTAGAGGCTGCTGGCTGACAACATCATTGCTGCTGCCCATTGACATGGCTTTGCTGCTTGGATTGGTCAGGTTGCTGAGCACATGTCGTGGCAGACTCCAAGCTGTTGGCGGATTCGGCTGCATGTCTGTGGAGTAGCTGTACAACACACACACGCCATCAGCAGCACGAACACAACGGGACGACTCTTCCACTGCCGCTGTCGACTCATCGCTTGGCAAGTCACCGGTGGCGCTGGCAGGTGCCAGGGCGCGTAAGAAATTGTAGATGCTGCGTAGATGAGCCAGTTGTCTGCGCATGACTGCCTGCTCAGCTGTGTCACCACCACTGCCACCGCGACCTCGACCCGTCTTCACTTCACTGCTACCGTACACACTCATGTTCTTCAGGCGGCCGGACACGTGCCTTACTAGATTGCACAACAGTGGAATGCCATGCTCACGGACAACAGCTTTGTCCGCCAGCTCCACGAAGATGTCCACCAGATTGCATGCATCGCTGCACACTGCCTCGTTCAGATGCGTCTGGGCGCACGCCACGTGAGCACACAGCAAATGCACCTTGGTACACAAACGCTCCGCTGACAATGAAGATAGAATGACTCTCAGCAGGGCTGCGAACTCTTGACGAACACGTCTGTCCGAGTCCACGGCAAGTGGTCCAGCCTTAGCCAGCAGTGCTCCAAGTTCCACTGATACCACCTCAGAATTATTCGTGCACAGGGTAGCTAATTCTGACAAGGCACTCGCGCGAGTTTTACAGTTGAAGTGAGTCAGCTGCTGCAACAGCCCTTTCACCGTCACGCCACGAGAAGTGGTCACAGAACCGGCAGCAGCCTTTTCCAGTTGCGTAGACAAATGGACAGCTGATGATTTGAAAGCAGTCTCGGTGACATTTGCAGCTTTTCCAACTTTCTTTCCCACCTTCAGCTTCGGCTTGGCAAAGTCCTTCGCCTTCTCCTTTTTCTTTCTAGTGCTCTTCCCCATTTTGATATCACAAAAATGAATGTATATGCAGAGGATTGCACCGTGGAGCCTCAAAGATAGGACGTCGCAAACCAAGCTGCAGTTGAGAAATAATTCCAAAGAACAGAAGACTGAATAAGTATTTTATTAGTATATTTTAAATCGTGTGCACATGTTGGTCTGTATTTTCAAACCACACGCGCAGAAATCCATCTTTTTTCTTTTCTTTTTCGGCCGGCTACGTCATGCGCGCATGCACGTGCGCGCCGCCGCATTATCATGATTATGACCAAGAGTAGATATAGACCCTTGGGCATGGGGTCTCTGTTTGACGTCATTCTTCTAAAACTGCCGAGGCCGCGCCGAAAAAAAAACGCTTCCGCGGGCCGCGGCAACACACAGTAAACCCTGACCGTGTAGTCGACACATAGTCATTATGTACTACGACAGCGGCCAAAACTTCAAAAAAAATCCGTTTCTCAAGCAGACAACCTACCGGGTTCTTCACTACGCCCTAAAGTATGCCTGACCTGGATTCCGCTTGTTGTCATCTTCAGAGTTATAATATTAGGGCAGAAGCTCAGGAGAAGCCAATTTCTCCGCTCTCGTCGGCGATACTGCGCACCATCTGGGGGTGCACAGTTCACGGAAAGGAGCGCCTTTTTCAAATTTTTGAAGATGACGACGACACCGACAGGATACTCTTTGAAATGTAGAATTGCATTTTCGTTTGGTAGTTGCATAGTAGTTGCGTTTCGCGCTGTTTGAGTGCCTCCTGTCCACCGCTCACAGCATGGTAGACACCTTTGACATGATGGAGGAAGAGGCCGTGGAGCTTCTTAGGCCTCGTCCTGGGAATGGCGTTGTATCGCGGGAATTTTGCTTGTGCCATTGCGTTCAATGCACCGCAGGAAAAGCAAACCCGATTTACTTTGCAGAGTTGGGAAACTTTGTTTGAAGCTGCTAAATGCAGGCAGGACGAGCTATACCTTCTTGTGCGAGAGCCACTGCACCGAGGAGAGCGTCCGCGGATGGTACCACCGCAAGTGCTACAGTACATACAGTAATAAAACGTTGCTGGGTCGGCTGCCACTTGGACGTGGCCATGACTTTTCAAGCCATTCTGAATTGGAGGAGATACATGTATGTGATGATGGGACACCATGTACCAGCAAAGCGTATAACAAGGAGAGATGTACAATGATTGAATCCACATCTGCAGACTTGTGCCTCATGACATGTGCATCTAGCAGAGTTGGAGAACAACGCAAGAATTTTGGCTTTCGCTCCAGAATAGCCCAGATTGCGTTGCAGCGGAAATCCACTATCAACGTCGGAGTATGCTACAGTGCCTTCACCCACCTGGCCACTATGCACCGGCAACGAAGTGGCAAAGGGAGTGACCAGCCGTCGGCCTACGAAACATTTGACAGCCTGGTGTTGTATATACAGTCCGAGTTGAAGTCTGCAAGGGCCTTGCCCATGAAGCTTCTCACGGATAAGTACAATAACTGCAAACGGCACCAGCTTGTCCGACCATCACACTCCGCCTTAGTATCCAACTTTCATGCTGAAAAAGAAGATAATGAGCTACTTGGGGACCAGGTGAGTTCTTGGCATTGTTGAATGTGTAGAAATAATTTGATCATGTTTTATTGTTTGGTCATGACCAAGGAAATCCAAATAACACATACGCTCAACTACAAGATCACATGATCGCATGTCCACACCAGATCATGAGTCCAGACTCAACTCATGCACACAACTAAAAGCCGCTAAGTTCATTTCACACGCGCGCTCGGGAAACGGCACATGCTGCATACATAACATAACACGATGCGCTACTATCATGAATGTCTGGGTGGCCAAGGAATGCCACAATGTGTATGTAGACGTGAACACTACAGTGCCAGACATCTACAACATAGGAATGTATTAAATGGAATGCAAGTGTTCATGCTCATGTAATGTGGTAGTCTTCTTTGGTTGAATTACGTTTGTGGCTGTTACACGTATTATTACGACCAGCTTGGCTCTCGCGCTACTTCACACGGTACACATGTAGGTCAGAATAAATCAGGGCTTGTGGTCCGCGTCAGAGTAATGTCCAAAGCTGACGTCAGTATTCTAGGCTGACTTTATGCAAGAAGAGACAGAATTATAAACTGGTTGTTTTCTAAACACAATTGTATAACGCGGACATGCTTCCCTTTTTTTTAAGGATCGAATTTCATTGGCGTGTTTCATTTGCATTTGTGTTTGAACTGTGTGTTTCCTTCAGCAATTGACATGTGTGGTAAGTGGCATGGGTATACAGGCGCACTCTTCACGGAGCAACCACTTGTCTGTGTCGTCTGCAAACGGTCCGATGGCCGGTAATACCCAGTCATTGCCGAACAGTCATACTAGTAACGCACCTGGCCCGACTCCAACCATCCCAGTCCAGCCGGTCGCCGCAGATTTCCTGCCCGCATCCACGTCCACTCCTCACCCCAGTGTCCGGCAAGAGAACGGGCCCAATGCCAGGAGTTACGACGGGCCCACTGCCAGGAATTACGATAGGCTCACTGCCAGGAGTTACGATAGGCCCGCTGCGATATCCGCTGGGCTTGTCCCCGCCAATGTCGTGTTGCCCACTCATTCGGCTTCAAAGGATCCGCTACTCCGCCGCGTCAGGTGAACACCAGTGGATCAGTTTCATCTCTGGGTACTACATCAGCCTCCAGTACAGACGTGTCGGCTAGTACGGCTTTGACTACAACCTCGGGTGCGAGGCAACCAGTGGCGGCTGCGGTGTCTTCTACAGCGCCATCTCAACCACGGTCGCAGCAGGTTCTTGCTGATCTCTAGCGTGCTATGTGGTGTGTGAGTGTGTGCGCGCGGACGCGCACAAACAATGCCATGTGTTGTGCGGTGTGTGCGTGCGTGTGGGGTTTGTGTATGTGTGTGTGCGAGCGCGCGCGCACAATGCCATGTGTTGTGCGGTGTGTGTACGTGTGTGTGTGTGCGCGCGCGCATGCACACAATGCCATGATGAGGGTGAAGGCAGTTTCGACTGTGGATTGGACTGTAAGTCCGACTCTGAATCGGACAGTGAGTCTGAAAGCTAAGGCTGGTGGACCGCACTATTGAAGTTTTTGAATTGATTTGAATTTGAATTGTACTTTTCAACTCTGCAGCAAATGACAAATACACTACTGCGCTATTATTTTACATCTTCCATATCGCTCGTTTGCTAAGATCAGCTTATGATCGCTATCACTCTGCCGTTTTACGGTGTCCTTTGCTTCGCTCGTGCTAGCTCTCTTCCGCTGGTGTTGTCGAGATAGTGTACCAATAAATGAAATCCTCTCATACGAAAGATCCATGTTTGGGGGTGATTTTGGTCAAATTTTACAACAAATCAATTTGTGCCATCTCTAATCACCATCAATAGGAAATGAACGCTCAGCAAAGGGCAACCATGATCTACAAATCATCCAAACACAAGAACAAATTCACATCGACTGCACTAATTTTCAATAAAATATCGTATCACATGCTGCCAATTTCAATCAAGGAGTCGTAAAATAACGTAAAATAACGACTTCCGTAACGAAACCTAAAATTGGTTCTCCCCAGCTTATGCCCTAGTTCTGGACATGACAACAAGCCGTTTCGACATCCCTAGGACATGGTCTTTCCACCCATGCAAAGCTCAGGTTGTCTGCTTGAGACTGAAACGGGACTTGCAAAACAACGTCTTTTAGATTTGGGCCGCAGGACTATTGGTACCGGTATGCCGGATTGTCAGAAGGCTGTGAAATGTGCGGGCCTGTACTAAGTAGTGTCAATAGTACATAACCCCCCCCCCCCCCGGGGGGGGGGGGGTTATGTACTCTTGGTAGTGTACAATGTAGGTGCAATACAGTTTGGTGTGTCCAAATATTGACCACAAATAAATCTCGGATTTCGGCAAGCGAAGCCTGGTGAGCAATGACTAGGGTCCGGCGGATTCTACGGGCAGAAAAATTGGCAGAATTCAGTACTTTTTTCTGGTAAGTTAGTTTCATGCATGTTTGGTATGTGGATAAAGAAATGGAGAAGAATTCGAGGAATTGCCCGCCATAAGGTTTGTATGATTCTGCCAATTTCACTGCTTTTCGAGCAGAATCTGCCACCTCTTCGAGCAGAATCCGCCGGTCCCTACCCTAGCAATGAGAACGATCGCAGCGCCAATAGCAACTACCGTAGAAAGTCAAACAATACCAAACCCACTGATCACGAGTCTATGTGGAGATTGAAGTCGGCACTGTTTTGTCACTCTATTTAGGACGCGCTTCTCTTGCTCAGATATACCGTTGTAGCCCATGCCTCTTATAGCCAATACTCGATAATGCCAACAGAAAACGGGCGGAATTCGATACTGTCACTGTTATTTTCCATGCAAGTTTGGGTAAACGGACAAGCAAGTGTTGGTACATGGTAACACGGATAAAGAGGAGGAGCGTAAACATGAATGCATTCAAAATGCACTAGAGGCACATGCCTGGTCCTACTTGCTTGACCGTAGTCTAAATGTGAAGCTGGATGGAATCTCTCTTCTCAATAATATAATTATTACAGTTTAGCATATGCTAAACTGTGGTGTACCCCAGGGTTCGCACCTTGCCCCTGCACTTTTTCTTTTGTAAATCAATTCCCTTCCTGATATAATAAACCCTGCCCCGCAAAGCTCACCCTTTCTCTTTGCTGATGATGTGACTCTTCTAAATGCTCACAATGTATCCCTCTCCTCAGATGAGAACGTGTCGACCCACCTCCAGCAGGATCTGGCCAGCTGCCAGCATTGGGCTCAGAATATCCAGGGGAAATTTTCTCCAGAAAAACTTTAATCTTTTCGAATTACGACATTCCTAACTCCTCTGTTTTAAGTTCCTATTAGCCCTTTCCCAAAGATGCTCGCCACTTTTTTCGCAACTTTTTTCTGTTTTGGAAGAAATCGCAACTTTCACAACTTTCTTCATTTTCATAAACTATTTCGCAACTTTTCCGCAACTGTGTGCAAAGAAGCGCCCTGGAGGAGACCATTGAAGTGTCCGTGATGCTCCGCTTCAACAAGAAGCGCTGAACCATTGCATCAAATCA